TTCAATTTTCTCAGTTATGGTAAACCCTGAGGAAATTAAATCTTCATCAGAGTACAAAACAAATTCTGGCCACAAAAAAGAGCGAAACACCAACGTCAAAGACCTGGGAGTGATCATGTCGGAGGATCTCACCCTTTAAGGACCATAACATTGTATCCAATCGCATCTGCTAGAAAAATGACGATGGATAATGAGAACCTTCCCAAAACTAGGGAGGCCAAGCCCATGATGACACTCTTCAGGTCACTTGTTCTATCTAGGCTGGAATATTGCTGCACACTAACAGCACCTTTCAAGGCAGGTGAAATTGCCGACCTAGAAAATGTACAGAGAACTTTCACGGCGCGCATAACGGAGATAAAACACCTCAATTATTGGGAGCGCTTGAGGTTCCTAAACCTGTATTCCCTGGAACGCAGGAGGGAGAGATACATGATTATATACACCTGGAAAATCCTAGAGGGACTAGTACCGAACTTGCACACGAAAATCACCCACTACGAAAGCAAAAGACTTGGCAGACGATGCACCATCCCCCCAATGAAAAGCAGGGGTGTCACTAGCACGTTAAGAGACCATACAATAAGTGTCAGGGGCCCGAGACTGTTCAACTGCCTCCCAGCACACATAAGGGGGATTACCAACAGACCCCTGGCAGTCTTCAAGCTGGCACTGGACAAGCACCTAAAGTCAGTTCCGGATCAGCCGGGCTGTGGCTCGTATGTTGGTTTGCGTGCAGCCAGCAGCAACAGCCTGGTTGATCAGGCTCTGATCCACCAGGAGGCCTGGTCTCAGACCGGGCCGCGGGGGCGTTGACCCCCGGAACTCTCTCCAGGTAAACTCCAGGTGAGAACTCTAGAACTGCAGACACATTCATCACCTTCAAAACTACCATTAGAAAACATCTTATCTCCCTGATACACCCCGTCAACTAACTTCACGAATACCACCTGGTGGTTCACACTTACAATCGCTCACTGATTTGACCATAAACAGAAATATTAATCTCAGTCTTAAAATAATGAATCCTGTGATACTCCAATACTGAAACTATATACTGTGCCAAAACAAAAGCATTCACATTGCTAAACTCACAAAATAGTATTTAGTCACTTAGCCATAATACCAACTTACCTCATAATTTGTAATATTTTACATTTAAGAATAAAACTAAGTATGCCCGAAATGCCTAGCCATGCTAAGCGTTCTAGTGGTACACTCTGTAATCTCAATTTTACTACATGTAAACCAAACAATAACCAAATTTCTGTAAACTCAGCATTGTAATCCTTATAGAGAATAAACTTTGAATTTGAATTTGAATTTGAATTTACTATTGTCTTGGAATATATACAAAGTATTTATATGTCCCAGCAATGTTTTGGATATGTGGAAGTATATAATAACAATGAGGAGGAGGAGAAGGAGGAAGAGGAGGAGGAGGAGGAGGAGGAGGAGATGGAGGAGGAGGAGATGGAGGAGGAGGAGAAGGAGGAGGGGGAGAAGGAGGAGGAGGGGAGGAGGAGGAGGAAGAGGAGGAAGAGGAGAAAGAGGAAGAGGAGAAGGAGGAAGAGGAGAAGGAGGAAGAGGAGAAAGAGGAGGGGGGAAGGAGGAGGAGGAAGAGAAGAAGGAGGAAGAGGAGAAGGAGGGGAGGAGATGGAGGAGAAGGAGGAAGAGAAGAAGGTAATTTACACTATGTATACTTGTATTTATGTGTACCTGTGAGACAGAGATAGATAGAAAGAGAGAGAGAGATTGAAAGAGATATAGTGATAGATTGACAAGGACAGATAGAGACAGAGACAGACACAGATAGACAGAGACAGACAGAGGTAGACAGAGATAGACAGAGATAGAGATAGACAGAGATACAGAGATAGACAGACCCTAAACTTGGGGTTAACATTACTTTCCTCTTAAAAAAGGAGTGTTAATATGACATTACATCAGTGAATCCTTGGTGTTTGCCACACTGTTTGCTCTAGATGGCTCTCAATTTAACTGGCACTCCCACAAGGTACTAAGTGGTCCCAGATTTTTTTTAATACCGCACACACTTGAGTGTTAGGACCCATTCTATGCTGACAAGGCATCTCAGACCAATCGTGCCAAATTTGAAGGCAGGAAAAATAAAACGTATATATACATTTCGGGCGTTACTCATATGAACGTATATATACGTTTGGACCTTTTAAGGGTTAAAGACATAAAGGAAAAATAGTTTCAGTGCTGATTCGGCCTCCCCGCAGCTGCATCCAGGTGGCCCCTTCGATGAGAATCAGCTAACCCCAGCCCTTAGCTGATGAGAAAAGTGATCATTAAGTAGTTGCCCCAAAAGAGTGTATATTTAAGCATTTCTGACACTGGTAACTTAATGATGAATGGATTTGTACTTGTTTAGGGTCAATGGCCCACCAGTGATGGGATTTCTTTGTAAATCTAGGCAAGGTTTGACCCTAACTATCAGCTGCAGCTAACCTAACTAGGAACAGGTATATCCCCAAAAATCTTGCTTTGCTTGTTAGGGAAAATTTAATCCCGATATTGGTGTCTTGATTGAAGTACAGTGGACCCTCGCCTAACGATATTAATCCGTTCCTGAGAGCTCGTCGTTAGCCGAAATTATCATTAGCCGAGTTAATTTTCCCCATAAGAAATAATGGAAATCCAATTAATCTGTTCCAGACAGCCAAAAGTATTAATTTTTTTTTTTTCATGAAATATACATTTCTCTACAAAGAAAACAATGAGACATGCACAATAACTACATAAACAATTGTTAAATGACATTTACCTTTATTGAGGACCAGTCAGCAACAGCTGACTGGTCCAGCAACAGCTGACTGTGGTGCAGCAACAGCTGACTGTTCCAGCAACAGCTGACTGGTCCAGCAACAGCTGACCATGGTGCAGCAACAGCTGACTGATCCAGCAACAGCTGACTGGTCCAGCAACAGCTGACCATGGTGCAGCAGCAGCTGGCTGTGGTATGATAGTATTTATCACCCTTTTTACCACAGGGTTGGCACTAGAAGCTTTCTTTGGGCCCATGGTGGCTTATTTAGCAGTTACAAGCACTATAAACAATGGAATAATACAAAATGTATCGAATGTATGTATGCAACCAGCCACCCTGGCTTGTAAACAATGCCACCAGCGGAACAAGTGAGGCTGGCTCAGGCCGCGCATGGATGCGTCTCGGACGAATCGCGTTGAGCAAGTTTTTTAGCGCTAGGCGAGGCAAAATTTTTGCATTAAAATGTATCGCTAGGCGGATTTAACGTTATGTGATGCCAACGTTAGGCGAGGGTCCACTGTAGTAGTGTGTCTTGAGTTGTTGCACTGTCTTTCACTCAGTCGAGAATGTTCAGCAACACACACTGTTATACTACACTGAAACCAAGATTTGTTTATCTGGAGAGAGTTCCGGGGGTCAACGCCCCCACGGCCCGGTCTGTGACCAGGCCTCCTTAGGTCAGTGTCCCAGGATGCGACCCACACCAGTCGACTAACACCCAGGTACCCATTTTACTGATGGGGAACATAGACAACAGGTGGAAAGAACACGTCCAATGTTTCTACTCTGGCTGGGAATCGAACCCAGGCCCTCGCCGTGTGAAGCGAGAGCATTAACCACCAGGCTTCGTGGTATTTTCATGACAGGAAGATCGGTTATGCTTCACTGTGTCATTAGTTCTACCGCGAATTTCTGAGATTGTACAACAGTCAAACTCACAACACTGTTGTTCCTTTGTTCAGGGCAATGCCCACATGAAACACATTTCCTGTTCGTCTCCTGAAGCCAATCTGCCTTCCTCCTCCTGCTTCGCCTTAGGGTGGGCCCTTAATTGCTAACTTCAGCATGATTTCCCTCCTTGCTTAACATCATCACAGTATTCAACACAAGATGGTCGATTTCTTATTATCTATCAATGACAGTTCATTATTGTCCTACACTGTAAGTAAAGTGGTGCAGGGTTTTCCTGTAATTTTCCTGCTAAGGTAAAGAGTCATTTTTCTCGTTTCACTGTCACTCGTATTACACAAACACTATGGTGCAAGAGAGGGGGCGTAACTTATGATGTTGTTAGCTGCATATGGATTCAATTAAACTGTTTATGTGAAGCAAGAGAGGCTATCAGCCTCTCTGAAGGGCTGAGTCCTTCAGGGAACTGAAGGGGCTGAGAGGGCTGATATTCCCTTTCTGGAGAATTTTCTCCACAATGGGTGGGGAAAGCTGCAGCAAGGAAAAGGCTGGAGGCAGTGGAGATGTTGTGTCTGATGGCATTGTGTTGTGTGAGTATTATGCAGAGAATCTTTAGCATGGAGATTACACAGAGATGCAGGATTTCTAAAAGTATTATCTAGAGGGCTGAGGAAGGGTTGTTGAGGTGGTTTGGACATTTTGAGAGGACTGAAGAAAATAGAATGACTTGGTGGGTTTATAAATCATCCTAGGAAATGTTAGAGAGAGGGGTAAAGGAGGTTTTGTGTGTGAGGGGCTTAGACTTCCAGCAAGCATGCATGAGCATGTTAGGAGAGTGGAGACATGGTTTTTATGATGTGCTGCTGGAGTGTGAGCAAAGTAATATGAACGGATTCAGGGGAAACTGGTTAGATTTACCGGAGTTCTGGAGGTGGGAAGTACAGTGCCTGTACTCTGAAGGAGTGGAAATATGATGCAATTTTTGAACTATAATGTGAACATGCCTCTGCAAGACAGTGGTGGAGTGAGTGATGATGAAATTGTTTCTTCTTTCTTGGGGTTACCCTGCCTTGGTGGGAAACAGCGGATGTGTTAATAAAAAATGATTGCAGTAATAATACCTCAGGTATTATAATAATATTTTAAGTATTACAATAATAATACCAGTTATTACAATAACAATACCACAGGTATTACTAAAGATAATTATAGTGGACATAAAATTTTTTAATTCTCTTGAAGTTAAAGTTTATCAAAATATTATAATGGTCAGTTGTTTCTTTTGTGCAGATCATCCTGGTAGCAGAGGTTGGTAATTGTGGTACCAGTGCTGCAGGTCATCCTGGTAGCAGAGGCTGGTACTTGTGGTACCAGTACTGCAGATCATCCTGGTAGCAGAGGCTGGTACTTGTAGTACCAGTGCTGCAGATCATCCTGGTAGCAGAGGCTGGTACTTGTGGTACCAGTACTTCAGATCATCCTGGTAGTAGAGGCTGGCACTTGTAGCACCAGTACTGCAGGTCATCCTGGTAGCAGAGGCTGGCACTTGTAGCACCAGTACTGCAGGTCATCCTGGTAGCAGAGGCTGGCACTTGTAGTACCAATATTGCAGGTCATCCTGGTAACAGAGGCTGGCACTTGTAGTACCAGTACTGCAGGTCATCCTGGCACAGAGAAATTATATTTGTAGTGTCAAGTTTTAGTATTGTAAGGCTCACATAAGTGTCAGATACTGAAATATATAGTGACAACACTACGTTACTACAGTGTTAGAAATATATAGTGACAACACTACGTTACTACAGTGTCAGAAATATGACATTTTCAGTGTCGTCATCAGTGTCATAAAGTTGTTGTGTAATAATACTGTTACACATCACTTTAACATCTTACTGTTATACATCAGCCTAACATCGTACTGTGTAACATCTACTTAACAAGCTAATGTTACACATCAGCTTACATTCTGCTGTGTTAACACTCATCATTGTGCTCTGCACAACATTATCTCTGATTGTATTAAGAACTTTTTCATAATTTATGTTACAAAACTATTTTGAAAACTTTAGCAAGAAATATTTAAATTCATGAACAGTATTAGAGAACCATTCAAGGTACCTGCTTTACTGCTGGTGAACTGCTTTTGATCCAAGGAATTGAAGATATCCTCCCATTATCGTAATCATCCATGCTATTCCTCAAGCACTGTATAATGTAGATTTAGAACTTGGTCATGTTTATAATTATGTAATTATAGAGTATTAGAGAAATGTTGGTTTTCACTGTAATGAAATGGTAACAAAATTTGCATCTGTTCAAGCATTTTAAGATTTATTTATAAGATTATTAACCCCTTTCACTGTCTCATCCATAGATCTTTGTTATTGACCACAGTGTCACGTAGATCTAAATTACTGATGCAGGTGTCGCTCATATAGATTTGTTTTGAGCACAACAATCTCAGATATACTGTGAGCAGTATATTTTGGCCTAAACATGAGAGAACGGGTCTGTGCAGTGGGCGTGAACAGTATAAAAAAAAATCATACCCCATGCAGTGCAAGATCGGAAAAGCAAACATTTGACTTTGCTTTAAAATAGACTCAGTTTTTTTCTAGGATGGATTTATTGGCTCATGGTATCAATTGATAAACGAAGTCATACTTGTGAAAGAGATTATTTTGGTAAGTAGCTGAAGTAGAGTTTTGAAAGTAGCTTGAGATAGGGTTTCAAGTATCATAAATATTACTTCTTTTATTTCCCATAAAACAGACCCTCCTGGTCTGTTTTATGGGTTTTTACTAGGTCTGCCTCATTTATTGGGATACCATAAACCATGACAATCATTCCTGGTTATATTTTATTACAAATACAAATGTTTATTTCTATTATTATATTAGAAATAGGGTAAAACTTCAATTTTTTTTTTGTTTGATGATGGATTCCAGTTCCTGGAATGCACATGGTTTTTATTTTTATTCTCTTTAATGTGTTTTAAATCAGATTTTTTTTTTTTTTTTGTATAATTGTCCAAATTACCATCTTCTCTGTACTTTAGATAGTGCAAAATAAGTAAGAATTTCTTCAAAATGAGCAATGAAATTGGCTTAAAATAGGACTCAAAGTGGGCAAAATTGCTAGGCATAAAATGCTCCCAGATTTTTAACTTTGCACCTGAATAATTTCTTGTTTGTCAACAAATTTCAAGTTTTTGGTGTTTACCTTAAGAAAAATATTCTCTACTGTTTTAGCATTTTTAATTTTGTGGTCATGACCAAGAAAGGATTGAGTCATTGTTCACTATGTCTAAAATACTTGAAGAAAACTGTGTTCAAGCAACACACATTACAGTTCATGCAGAAGACAAACTGTATCAGTATTCACAGTCTCTGAAATATTCCTCACAAAAATCTCAGTGTGTATCACCGATAACAGTTAATGAAGAGAAAGAAGCAGCTCAGTGTTCAATGTGTTTAAAAGAGTTTTCTAAAAACTTTTTAATGAGACATATAAGAATTCATACCAGAGAAAAACATCAGTGTTGTGTGTGTTTTAAAAACTTTGCATGTAAATCTAAGTTTGTGAAGCACATGAGAATTCATACTGGAGAAAAACCATATAAATGTTCAGAGTGTTTAAAAGAATTTTCATATAAATATGGTTTAGCAGAGCACATGAGAATTCATACTGGGGAGAAGCCATATCAATGTTTAGAGTGTTTAAAAGAATTTTCACATAAATCTAGTTTAGTACAACACATGAGAATTCACACTGGAGAGAAGCCATATCAGTGTTCAGAGTGTCTAAAAGAGTTTTCATATAACTCTAGTTTACTACTACACCTGAAAATTCACACTGGAGAGAAATCAAATCAGTGTTCCGAGTGTTTAAAAGAGTTTTCCTTAAAATCTCATTTAGTACAGCACATGAGGATACATACTGGAGAGAAACCCTATCAATGCTCAGAGTGTCTAAAAGAATTTTCTAATAAATCTAATTTAGTAAAACACAGGAGAATTCACACTGGAGAGAAACCATTTCAATGTTCAGAGTGTCTAAAAGAGTTTTCCTTAAAATCTCTCTTAATAGTGCACATGAGAACTCATACTGGAGAGAAACCCTATCAATGTTCAGAGTGCCTAAAAGAATTTTCAGATAAATCCAGTTTGGTAAAACACATGAGAATTCACACTGGAGAGAAACCATATCAATGTTCAGAGTGTCTTAAAGAATTTTCTAGAAAATCTCATTTAGTACGACACATGAGAATTCATACCAATGAGAAACCATTTAGGTGTTCAGAATGTCTAAAAGAGTTTTCCAGAAAATCTTATTTAGTAAAACACCTGAGACTTCATGATAGTTAGAAATACCAGTGTTTAGTTTCTAAATGTTTTCTCACAAAAAATAAAATTGATTGAAAAACATATGAAACCATATGGGAGGGAAATCTTACCAATGGACAGTGTTATTCAAAGACATTATAGTATGAGATAGTAGCATGAATGAAAATTACTTGTGACAGAAATTGAGTTAATCTTTCAGATGTTTAAATGATCATTGACACAATTCTAAATTAGCTCTACATATGAATAGTCATTCAAGAAAGTTTTCTTTGTCATTAAATTAGCAATATTCATGCAACAAAGCTTTTCTTGATGTTGGTAAATTAGTAGCATTCATTCAAGAAAGCTTTTCTTTTTATCATTAAATTAGCAGTATTCATGCAAGAAAACTTTTCTTTGTGTCATTAAATTAGCAGTATTCATGCAAAAATCTTTTTAACTTTTCTTGGTGTTGGTAAATTAGCAGTGTTCATAGAAGCCTTTGCTAATTGTACTTTTGTGGAATAGCTAGATCTGTGTCTGATGTCACTTCACAGGAGGTGCCTTGATGTCTGTGAGATGCCTTTGATCCAAGATACTGCCATAACTTTTTCTTGGATAAAATCTGATTGGCTCCCATTCTTCTAGTACTGTATAACCTTTCAGTGTCAGTCCCATAAAATTATGGCTTTGAAGCCAGTGTCAGTCCTGTGATACTACGCCAGAATTCTAGCATCTTCAAATCTTGCGGGGAAAAAGCTGGTAGGCCTACAGTGCTCGTCATGGCATTATTCTGGGTGAGTGCCCCGGCATAATGCCATGACGAAAATCAAAGGCCTACCATATAGGGGGGGGCAGGTCTTTTTTCATCATTGCAGTCTGCTGGGTAACAGCTGTAAGCATGACATCTCAGCCTGCCACCACACTTCACAGTGACTTCTCATTGCTCACGTGGCTGCTGTGGTGAGAGGAAGTGTTGCACTGTTGTCTCTCATCCGCCCCATCTTTTGTCTGGTGTTCCCTTTGGTTTTGGGGCTATACATGTTTGATTATGGGTAAAAGGAAGTGTTTAACTCCTGAAACTATAGCTGAAATCATAGGGCTTCACAAAGCTGGGCACCAGACGAAAGAAATAGTGGACAATGTTTGTGTGTGTGAGCATTCAGTAAGGAACTGGGTGCAGCGTTTCAAGGCTGGTGGTGGTGTTGAGTTACCATCTGCCAAACCTCAGCCTGGCCCCTCAAAAAAGGCATCTGTTCATACCTTAACTGTGTTAAAGAAGCAGTTACTATCTGGCTGCTTCTTTAACACAGTTTAGGTACGAACACCTCTTCTAAAGGGGCTCCTTGACGTGGCAAAGAGGCTCTTGGTCTAAGGAATTAAACTCTTTGGTCTCCTTCCTCAGACTGAACCTAAGTACCCCCCAATCCTCCCTTCCCTATCCCATCCCCCCCTTTTTTATTCCCCTTTCCTCCCCCCTCCCTCCTCCCAACCTTCCCCTTTCCATATCCCGTTTGTAGTCTCAGGGGTCCTCCCCTTTGGCATTACAGTTTCTAGGTAGGGGGAAGTGTGCCATGGAATCTGAATTGTCTGGAGGTGCCCTGCTGCCTTCCTGGATCTCCAAGAAGTGGGCAGGGTGTCCTGCAGATGATGGATGTATCTCCAGAGGCTGCCTGTCAGTTCTGGCGGGGTGACAGCCAAAAGAGGTATGCTTTGTGGCAAGTTTCCAACCACCCTTTCTTTTGTCCACCGAGGTGGCTCAGTAAATGTGAGGTTGCTATCCCTGAGTGCTGGTTTACTGGTGTGAAGGGTAGGGTATGGCACGGGTTCCACGCTGCATCTGCACTGCTCATGGGCTCGAGGCCCTCTCGGATGAAGGGAAGAATTTACTGCCCTTCCATGCTTTCTTATTTTTCTTTCCTTCTTCTTTTTCTTTAAAATAACAAGAAAGAAGCACCACCATAATGGAGTCTTCGTTCTGTGATAATCCTCCTCCTCCCAGGCCCCTTTCTGTTCACATATCCTGTTCTGACCCAGCTTTGTTATTGGACCATTCTCTAGACTCTTCTCATGCCCCTATACCTTTCTCATGCCCCTATACCTTTCTCATGCCCCTATACCTTTCTCATGCCCCTATACCTTCTGGTGGTGTTGCTTCATCACCTGCTGCAAGTGCTGAGGTGCCACCCATTTCTGTTAATGCCTCTGCCTTCTGCACACCTTTAACAATGCGTCCGGCTTCCCTGAATATGCCTCTTCAAGGGGGGCTCCTTGGCGTGGTGAAGAGGCTCTTGGTCTGAGGAATTAGCCCTGTCGGTCTTCTTCCTCAGACCGAACCTAATTACCCCCCATTCTTCCCTCCCCTATCCCATCCTCCCCATCCTCCCCTTTTTCCGTTCCTCCTCTTCCTCCTCACCCCTCCCTTTTGCCCTTCCTCTTTTTGGCCTTTGGGATTTCTCCCACAGGCGCGCTAGTTCCTAGGTAGGGGAAAGGACACCGGGGTCCATCCCATTCCGTTGAGGTTCTTGGCAGTGGCGTAGTTTGCCGTGGAATCTGGATTGCTGAGGATGTCCCGATCCTCTTTGCATCCGTCATGTCCATAAATGCTACCCAGCTCAGATTTCTTTCTCTCCTTGCGAATATCGATACTTCTCCTATCACTATTGGAAAAACATCCTTTCTCTCAATCTTGTATGTGAGTACTGTCATTCTGCCCCATCCATAGTCCAACAAATTTCCCAGTCATGTGGCAGTGACATTTTTGAACCTGCTGTGGAAACTCCAGGATCTCCCAATCCTCAAGTAGGACACTTATGTCCTTCCTGCCGTGGTCGGAGACGTTACCCTTGCAATGTGGCTCGTTAAACTTTTGACAGCCAAAGAAACTCCCGTCTCCTGCATATATGTCGTGGGACATAGTTACAAGTTCGAAAGGTGATAACTACACCGCAAACAATGTAGAAATTGCTGGCGTTTTGGTCACCCAGTGAAATATATGCAGATCTATGGACCGTGCTCAGTCTGTTGTGCCGACGACCCATTCTAATACATCTTGCAGTCAACCTCCAATCTTGCCTTAATTGTAATGAAGCTCACCCTTCGTACTCCCGCCGGTTGCCAGGTTCTACTTAACCCTTTGTGGGCGACAGGCCACTCACCGAACTCGTTCTCAGGGGTCGGCCCCAAATTTCAAAAAAAAAAAAAAATTATTTTTTCTTATGAAAAACAATAGTTTTTTTTTTCTAAACATTATAGGAATATAAACAAAAAAAAATTTACCATCAATACTTATGGAGATATGGGGATGCATGAAGTTTGCAGAAAATGAGCCGGCGTATGGCAACAGCGGCGACTGCCGCTCACCCCTGGGGTTAAACTTTAGTTTTCTTGTATTTGAAGGTTTGTTGTTTTTTTTTCACTATTTTATTTTTTCACATAATTTAATGGGCTATGAGACCAAAGTAAGGTGCAATGTACATTTATACCAAGTTGTATACAACAAATAAGCACACAAACATAAATTATCATATATTTGTTTACAAAACTTGTTTACAAAAACAAACAATTACTAAAACATTGTTTATTATTAGTGTTCTATAATATTTAACCATTATACAGTCATGAAACATATTCCTATTGTACTGCAAGCTTGTGGAACTCTGAAACATGGTGTCATACACAATGGTGTTTTATCTTACTCCCTCATCTATCTCCTTTTCAATCTGTCTCTCTCTTTCATCTGTCTGTCTATCTCTGTCTCACAGGTACACATAAATACAAGATACTAGTATAAATTACCTAGATAACCCAAGAAATCCAGACAAAGTGCTATACTTGCTGGAAAGATTAGTGTGAGTACAAAAGTGATGACCAAAGTCTTGTGGCTTCTGAGCCAGAGGCTAGAGGTTAGACAGATAGACAGGGAGCTTGGACAGACAGTCAAATAGACAGACAGAAATGTTAGTGTACCAGTACAGTGTTACTAGTGTTTTCCACCCTCCTCTCCTCTTCTTCTCTTCCTCCTCTTTCCCCCTACCTCTTCCTCCTCTTCCCCTACTCTTCCTCATACTCTTCTCTTCCTCCTACTCTTCCTCTTCCTCCTCCTCTCTTCTTCCTCTGCCTCCCACTCTTACCTCCCTCTCCCCTCATCTTTTCTTCCTCTTTCCTCCTCTTACCCCCTAATCCTTCCTCCTACTATTCATCTTCCTCCTCCTCTTCCTCTTATTCCTCTTCCTCCTACTATTCCTCTTCTCACTCCTCTCTTCTTCCTACTTCCCCCTACTCTTCCTCCTTATCCTCCTCTCCATAGTGTAAATTACAGGAGGTCGGCCAGCTGTCAAAATGACATATTGTCTCATTACTCACTCCACCCTCACGCCTTGTCCAAAACAATGGGGTCGGATGCTGCTTCCCTTTCCTCCATTCTATCTAATTATTTTCTCCTCATTCTATCTGTCTTTTTATCTCTGTCCACAGGTACACATAAAATACAAGTATTCATAGTATAAATTACCTAGGATAACCAAGAAACCCAGACAAAGTTGCTATTGTTACTCTGTTGAAGATGTGAGTAAAAGTGATGACACAGTCTTGTGGCTCTCTGAGAAACCAGAGAGACTAGACGGATAGAAGGAGCTTGACAGACAGGCAAATAGACAGACAGAAAATGTTAGTATACCAGCATAAACAATAGGTGAGGGCGATGTTTATCTCATCTTTTGCATAGTCTACCCTATTTAACCTCATCAAACGTCTGCACTTATCAGATGTTTATCTCCCCTTATCTTGTGACGTTCATGGGTGAACATGTATTATACATATTATTATTATTATTATATTATTACATATTATTATTATTATGTATTATTATTATGTATTATTATTATTATGTATTATTATTATATTGTATTATTGTTATCATTACGTATTTTTTCTTCCTCCTCCTCCCTCTCTTCTTTTCCTCCTCCTCCTTCCTACTCCTCCTCCTCATCCATCCTTCTACCTCCTCCTCCTCCTCCCTCCTCCTCCTCCTCCTATTCTTCCTCCTCCTCACTCCCCTCCTCTGCGGGGCCTCCTCCCTCCTCTTGGGCATCCTCCTCCTTACTGCCTCTCCTCTCCTCCTCTTGCCTCCTCCTCCTATTGCCTCCTCCTCCTCTACTCTCCTCATTGCCTCCTCCTCCCTCTCGCCTCCTCCTCCTCTGCCTCCTCTTCCTTTTGCCTCCTCTCCTCTGCCTCCTCCTCCTAGTTTGCCATTTTGGAAACAAGTTTGAAAGCTTGTAGTTTTTCATAAATCACTATCACACTATCACACAATGCTCACATCTGAGTCTGGGATTTTGGAAAAAAAAATAGGAGTTTCCTCTTTGATTCTGGTACAACTGAACGTGAATCAAGATGGCCAGCACCAGAAGTGGAAGGTGTGGGT